TATATATGTTTAGGTTCTATGAAAAACAAAAAACCTTAAAAAAAACCTTAAAAATCATAAAAATGCATAAAAAAAAATACTTAGAGATCACAAAACTTTTTTTTGAATTTTTTTTTTATAAAAAATCGTAGCTTTTTATAAAAATTCGCAGCTTTTTATAAAAATTCGCTGAAAAAAAAAATAAAAAATCAGTTTTTTTTTTTTTTTCAAATTTTTTTTCAGCGAATTTCTTTAAAAACCTGCGATTTTTTCATAAAAAATGTAAAAAAAAAAGTCTTGTGATCTCTAGGTATTTTTTTTATGCATTTTTATGATTTTTAGGGTTTTTTTGTTTTCCAAATAACTCTTCCCTATATATATATATGCCCCAAAAATTGGCAATTGTTTGTATTTTGATCATTTTATCCGGTAAACCAGTTAACAACAGAATATGACGATTTAAAAAAATATATATTATTTTTTTATTTTTATAATATTATCTTACTATTATGTTATTGTATATCGCTACTAATATCATACAATATTTTCTTTAAAATAAAATAAAAAATCTTCAATATTTCTTTAAAACGGAATATATTGTTTTACATCAAATCCTATAGTACTTTTTTGTATGACAACAAATATCTATTATGAAAATAATTTTTTTTTCTTTTAAAATTAATGATTTTTATAATATTCTCTGTCTAACGGATTGTATTATTTTATATTAATTTTATGATATTTTCTTTGTTTGACAGAGAATATCTATTTTGAAAATAGTTTTTTTAATAACATTTTTTTATAATATTTATGTCTATCAAATTGTATTATTTTATATTAATATTATTGTATTTTCTTTGTCTAACAGATAATAGTTATTTTGAAAATAATTTTTTTTCTTATAATAATAATCGTTTTAATAATATTTATGTTTGACGTATTGTATTATCTTACATTAATTTTATTGTATTTTTTTTGTCTAGCAGAGAATATCTATTATGGAAATAATTTAATTTCTTAAAAAAAAATCGTTTTTATAATATTGTTGTCTAACGGATTGTATTATCTTATATTAATTTTATGGTATCTTCTTCCTTCTATGTAGGACTGTTTTTTTACTTTGCAAAATCGTGATGGTAAGATCCTATATAAGTTGTGAAGAACATAATAATAAATACTTAAAACATAAAAGATACATCTTGAATAGAGATCATTGTACCTAGGTGATCATACGATCATAAGATCAAGATCGTTATTTTAACAAGCTTTATATCATTTGTTTAATAATGCTTTTTTTTCTAAATTTATTTTTTATAACTTTTAGATTCTTATGTTTGTTCTAGTGAGAATATTGTACGATAATAACAGAAAAATACAATAAGATAATATTGTGTCACACAAAAACTATACATTAATACTATACTAAGAGAATAAGATAATATTAAAAAATTAAAAACAATATATTTTTAAAACAAAATCCTTTTATTTTGATCTATTTGCGAAAAAAGCATCATATTCTATTTTTGACCGGTTACCGGGTAAAATTGTTAAAATAGAAATAATTATCGGTTCTTGGGACTTAATTAAATAAAAAAATAAGATAAAAACTAAATTGTTAATGAGGTCAAAATATATTGATTTTTTAGTAATTTCCCTATATATATTATTGTGTTGTACCTCTTGTGGAATTTCCATAAATAATACTAGGGTTTAGGTCATTTTTGGTCACTTAACTTTTGTTTTTGTGCTCATTTGATCACTTAACTCTTTTTAAGTTTTAAAAGGTCATCAAACTTTTAGCTTTGTGCTTATTTAGGCACTTAACTTTTGTTTTGATCACATTTAGTCACCTAACTTTGAAAATTGTGTGTTCATTTATTCACTAAACTTTCAAAATTTTTTAAAAGTTTAGTGACTAAATGAGCACAATTTTAAAAGTTAGGTGACTAAATGAGCACAAATCTGAAAGTTAAGTGACCAAACCAAAAATTAAGTGACTAAATGAGCACAAAGTCAAAAGTTTGATGACCTTTTAAAACTTTAAAATAGTTAAATGACTAAATAAACACAAAACCAAAAGTTAAGTGACAAAAATAAACTAAACCCAAAATACTAATTTTAAATAGTTTTCACAGTGTAATAAAAGATATTTTGTCACCAAAAAGAACTTGTGATCGTGCTTAATCAGACCAGGTCATAAACTGCCAACAAGTAGCCTACGTACGAGACAGCTAACATTATAGCAATATAAAAATTTAATTTGCTATGAAATAGTAAACAAACAAGGGTGTCAAGTTCATGATAATCCTTAAACGATACAAGAGTTTACCAAGTAGATCTCCACAAGGTAGGTTCGGCTGTCGATGGCTATATGAAGTGCTTCCGGTGTTCATTTCCGACCTGCATATATAATCACACTATTAGTAATTGAAATCGATAAAGGATGACACCATGCATGAGATATATAGTATTTTGTGAGATTGAAACTACCTAAACTCCAAAGAAGAGTAAAATGTACTTGCTGAATCAGTATGTATTGTAGTAAGTAGGAATGAGAGAGCATAATTAAGACATAGAAATGGATCTATATATAACGTCCCCTTTGTTCCAAGAAAGAGCTGAAGACGAATAACTAAAGCGATTTATTAGTAAAATAGAAATTTGGTCCTTTTATTTCACTAAAAATCATAGATATGTTTTAAGTTTCCATTTTTTTTTTCAACTCGCTGCAGATATAGTCCCTAGATGTTCATTTTCATTTTGCTTTTGAACCAAACTAACAAAGAAAGAAATACACTATACAGACCAAATTTTAAATATACTCATAATATTTTTATTCAAATACTTTTTAAAGTTACAACGTATTTTACTTTTAACTGTCTCAAACTGATCATTTATTAATTACAGCAGATATTTTTGTCCATCGAATTTCTAAAAGATGTACAACAGTATCATTGAATAAATCAAAAATAATATTATCCACATAAATTTAACACCATAATTAAATCATTTTTAACCTTTGTATGTAACAGGGTATTGTTAATTGTTAATGCAAACTCTAGTCTATCCCCTTTGAATAAGAAAATATAAAAGAGTATCATACCATATCCTTGTAGTCTCATAACCAGTTTTATGTAACATGTACACATGATTGGGATCCATCTCAATAAATTTAACACAAAAAGAACTTCTCAAAAATGTATTGTTAACGGTTAACATCTTATTTTAAAAACAATATTTTATAAAACTAATAATTAAAAACTTTTGAAAACAAAATTCTTCTTAAGATTTCTTATATATATATATATATATATATATATATATATATATATATATATATATATATATATATATA